TTTTAGATGTCTAAAATGTGGCCTCGAATCTCCTCGATCTGGTTGTGATACAAGGAGAGGTCCAAAAGCTCGTGCAGCTCATCGAGGCCTTCGATCTCTCCTTGCAACTTGCGCCCGGACGCCCCAACTGAGGCCCAACTGGCTCAGATTGCGCAACTTGGAAGGTCACAAGGCCTGCCCTGGCAAACGGCCAGATGCAACTTGCGACAAAGCTCTTCATCCCTTTGGCCATGACAAGTCATGATGGGAACAAGGGATCAATCAAAGGCAACAAGTTGAGTTCACCCACTGTACACTGGCAAAGGAGTATTGCAAATAGATTATAATTCCGATTTGCAATTTCCCGTGCACTAGTGCGTTACCATCAAAATGCAAACGTGTCTGAAGTTTGAACCCCCCCAAGAGAGCCCGCAGTTGGGGGTGCGGCATGAATATCGATATGTCTCAGGTATTAGGTGCAGCATCCCTTGGTTCAGCTGTATGTTTCACGTTTTTTTCTTTGATCCGAAGCTCGGATGTTGTTGAAGGAGAGGTCGAGCCATGTGAGCTGCCGGAGGTGGCCCAAATTGGCGATCCTCGCCCAGGCGAAAACCAGTGGCCCCGTTGGGTCAGTATGGGCATGGAACCCAAACAAAAGAAAAACGGCTGCTGAACAACCAAGGGAATTCTTGAGAATTTGGGGGAATGACCCCAGGTGGTGGGAATCCAGTGGTTGAGTGGGGTAATGCCAGAGCTCCCTAAGAATCAACAGGTAAGCAAGCGGCATCATTAACCTTCCCTAGACGCTTCCATGTTTCTGAGACATGCAGGTCATTGACGCCATCTGATCCATAAGTCCTGAATCTGTTATGGGCAACCAGGTTGCGCCGGCTCAAAGATGTGGACTGCCGAAACCCCCAAGGCTGGGCAATCATCGGGCTTGAAAACCCAAACTGCTTTGTGCAACTCAGAAAGTTGAAAGGACCGGGTAACTCGCCCTGTGCGAGGCCTCAGCTGTGAAGCTTAACTTGGCGCCAGGCTTATCGATGATGTTGTTGTCAAGGCGGAGCGTGAGGAGTGAGTCGAAGTTGTTGAGGTTGGAGATCTACCGGCAGGAAGCTCCAGATTTGCGTAAGCAAAGCAAGCAGCAGCCAGGTAACGGGGATTTAAGCCCAACAAAGAAAATGCAAACAGTAAACGAGCAAGCAAGGGCATACAAAGCGGACGAGGGCAGACAAGCATTGAAGCATGGTGAATCACCTCCAATGGACGTCACACCTTCCTAGGAAACAGCTGCAAATAAGAGATGTGAAACAGCATGAGCCAAGGCCACAACAGCTTGATCTGGGCCTCAATTTCTTGGTAACTTATAATTCATCCGTCTGAAAGCAAACGTGGACCCTTCCTGAGTTGGGGGGTCCAAGGTGGTGATTCTTCCGCAAACCTCATGCACAAATTGACTTGGGGTGGAACCTGGCTATTATCGGAGCATTCAAGAGGGCATCCGCTCTCTTAACATCAACAATCGAGCCTAGAGCGAGAACTTGGTACCCAGGGTGCTAGCAACAAACTCTCAAAATCAAACATCAGCAGCATCTCAACATTTCTCTTCGGTGGGACATTCTCAGGACATGGATAGGCGCCTCGATGATGTTCTTGAAGGACAGGCGGAGGGAGGTGACCTGGCGAAAGCTCCCTGACACCGTAGCCAGCTTGTGGCCTCCAAACCTTGGAAACCCACGCCTAACTGGAAGTCATGAGGGCCCCCTGGTTGTACATCATTTGGGTTCCCATTTGTTTATTGCCCACAAGGGAAATGTGCTAAAAGCTGTTTTTCTGTCCGAATCCGTTTTTTCTCTCGGATTGCATAACCGGTTGCCCATCCGAGTCTATGCCGATTTTTCACCCGGAGCCTCACCGCTCTCCCCTGCTCCCTCTGCTCAAAATCCTTTCGCATTTTGCCCTTTGCAGCCATCAGGCCGGGGGCAACTTTGGGTGAGCCAGCTGCGTGGAACTAGATTTGCGCTCCGTGGAGGTGATTGACACTTGGTTCAAGTGAACTCTCGTCAGCTCCAGTGTGCACGTTCAATCTAGGGCTGCGTGCAGGGTCGGGTTGGGCGTGACTTTGAACACGCTGGCTTGCATGAGAAGTTTGGGGGCAACGAAACCTACCAGCACCTTCCAGGGCCGTAAACTTGTTTGCCCAGGAAGCAGGGTACTTGTACTCGAGTATCAAGTGGTAGGGCAAGTCCAGTCGTACTCGGCCAGGCAACCCTAAAATTGTCCCAAAACGTTTGGAGTCCAGGACGGGGGAAGAGCCTGAGCACATCGAATCCGCCGCGCGATCGAGCCTGTGGAAAGTCGATCGCTTCCCAAGTCTCCCCGTCTGGACGGACTGGCTCCTCACAAAACTGGGTCGCGCGATGGGTGGATGTTTTGGGAGCCCCTTTCAATCAAGCAAGTTGTTTGCCTGCGAGGGTGGTTTCAGGTTGGTTTCGGGTTGGTTTGAGATCGAGTGAGAGTTGATTTGGGTTGCTTTATGGTTGGGTTCAGGGTTGGTTTGGGGTTGGTTTAGGGTGGGGGTTGGTGAAGGTGGGTTTCGGGTTTGTCTTGTCCTGGGTCGGGGGATATCAGGGGACCGTGGTAGGCTTGGGCATTCCGGGAGGTGGGCCTGGGAAGCTGGCTGTGAGCCTTCCAATAAACCTCGGTGCGGGAGCTATTGGAGTCCCAAGGCCCAAGATGCTGGCCACAGGAACAAGATGGTGGTCTTCAGTTTGGAACCCTTCTTATGCATAGATCCCCAAACTGACAAGGCCCAAATGGTCCTCGACGCCCTCGATGAGCAACTCTTCGCTGATCACTTGTGGCTCGACCACTTCGGCCTTTTTCTTCCTGAAGCGAGCAGCTATCATTTTTGAAGTGAAGACTGACTAGCCACATGCTCAAAAGTTTCCCCTCCAACATCCTCAGCCCCCCCGCAAGTGGCAGGTTCCATCGTAAGCAAGCCCGCAGCCTGACTTGACCACTCTGCGGAGCCAAACGTGAGCCAAACTGATGTAGCCCAAACGTGCATCAGGATTCGAGAGACCATGACGGGAACTGTTGTTGTGGAGCTGCGTTGGCCCGTCATGGAAGGATACAACCCCCTTGCCTCAGCCCTTTGACTCAGAAGTCCTTATTGTGGCTGACCCACAACGAAACCCACAAAAACACGTGGACTTCCCACTGGACTTCTCACTTCCTGAGTGGGTTGGCAAAAAGAGTACACAACTACAATTTTCTTCCCAACAAGTCTTCAGTCCAGGAAATTAGGGTCTGCGATTTGGCTGCCACAGGGTCTCTCCGGGCTGGCAAAGTGGGCTTTTCGGAGAACCTCTCGGCAAAACCAAGGCGTCGGGCTGCAACCGACTGCTAGGTCGTTGCAACCTCCCCTGACAAGCCGCGGCAACTGGCAACAAGTTGGAGTTCATCAAAGGCATGTGGCAAAATAGGGGAGACCCCAATTTTGGATGGCTTTCCCATTGGAAACCCATTTGCAACCCCTTTTTCAAAGGGCATCCATTCGCCTCCCCCCAAAAAAAACGAGACACTGCACCCCCCCCCCCCCCGCGGCCCCCCGTCGTCTTTCCCTCTGAGCGTCCGCTGCTCGATGGCGATCTTCGCCACGTTGGCATTGGAGGAGCCCTGGCCCAGGCCCAGGGCATCCATGGCGCCCGCTGGCCGGCCGCGGAAACGGCCCGATCCCCCGATCCGCGCGGCCCGATCCGAGCCCGGGCTCAAAGGAAGCGCCGAAGCACCAAAGCGTTGCTCGGATTTTTGCCAAGCCACGGGTTGACCTGTTTGGACCTTGAGTGAAGTATGGCAAAGCGTCCAAAGGGTCCAACGAAAGGTCGGCTGGGCTAAAGAGTAGCGGGATCATGGCCTTCAGCAAAAACGTGGGACCTGATCTGGAAGCCCATGACCCCTGTGAGTCGGAGGGACATGGAGTGACTCAAGTTCCACTGGCACCGTCACACACACAGCCTACATGACTAAAGTCCAGAAACTGGGCAAGTGAACACCACCATAATACTTGGTTGACGTTGGAAGGGGGGCGCCAATTCATTTTTTAGCAGTTAAGTGGGAATTTCCCACCAAACCACAATAAGCGAAAATGCAAAATGTTTCCCAGCAACAACCGTCATCACACGCAATGTCGGAAAACCCCAGCACTCCCCAGCTGATCGCGGGGAGCTGGGCAGAACATGCACGCCTTTGTGCATGATAACATCTGCATCCAACAACTCAGCTTACATTTAGCTTCACAATTCGGATCTTTGGCACTGATGAATGGACTCGAATTCATCCGAATCCATGTTCCCTTGTCAAGTTGACGGTGCGGAACTCTGTGGCAGCCTTGCGGCAGAACCGTCGGCTCATGGAGGAATCAAGCTGGATTCAACATGCGATCCCCAATCCCACGGGAAAACCTAAAGACAACGGCTTGAAGTTGAGACCCAGTTCAGAATAATGCATGTGCAGTTTAAGAAGTAAGAAGGCACGGAAGAGGCACGTTGCAGCTGACTGAGGAAAACAACTACCGGCCCAATGGCACTTAAGTGAAAGGTGTGCCATGTTTGTCTTCAAATCTGGCTTTTCCGTGTGAGTGAGTTAGGGTGGCATTGCAAGTGAAACGGATTTAGAGACACGGAAGCTGTGGCTTGCCAGGTTTCCTTGACCTCTTCAAGAAACGTCGAGGCAGTGGGCCCAGAGCCAATTCTCTGGCGTCATGCGCCGAACCCACACCAGCAACTCGGCTCAGCACACCTCTTGCTGATCATTGAGCTCAATGAGCAGGAGGCTATGTTGTAAGACAATATGCCCTGGCATCCGAATGAGTTCTCCTGTTCCAGCCATAGCCCCTGTTCAAAGGTAGAACACGCATTGGAACCCGTGTGGGGTTGTGGGTCCCAAATTTGAACAACCAGAATTTGGCTGAATCCCACTGAGCGGCGCCAGGAAATCTGAAAAGATCCGCGAGCCTCTCTGCCTCCAGCAGCAACGCCAGCGCCAAGGCCCACTGCGAGCCCTTCTCACCTCAGCCAGGGGATGAAACAGAGGTCTAATTCTGAACAATCCGCGGCCCTGAAGTGACTGGAACCAAGCTGAACTGCTTGGGAAAATGGAGGGACGGACAAAATACTACAAACTGAACATCGACGCCAACTGAACTAGTGGAACTCATTGATTTCAGCAAAGCTGATCTAAACAATGAGAAGACACGGCTCAGGCTGGCAGTTTGACCTTTCTGCCCTCGGCAACCCCTTGGAGGGCCTTTCCATAAAGCTTCGCATTGCGCACTTGTTTTGCCCAGCCCAGCTGTCTTTAAAAGGGAACTCAGGAGTCGTGCCGTTGTGCCTTCTGCCCTGACCCTCCGGAGGCCCGGGACCGCTCTGAGAATGAACCCGCACGGTCGACGTAGCGGAACCCATCACCGGTGGCGAACGAGTCAAGCATGACACAGTGCACGGGGGGCACGTTTTGGGTTGCACAGTACCTTTTCCTTTGATCCGTGGCAAAATTGGTTCTCAAGGTTAAGCCTTTCTGCGTCCGGTCGTGTACACGGAAAGGTGAAGAAACTATCCAAGAAAGCACCCCGGTAAAATGTGGTGTGTAACTGCATAACTATAACAGGCATGCAACAGGCAAACCGGACTATAACAGGCATGCAACAGGCAAACCTCAGGAGAAGAACTTGTATGTGACAGGGCCTAGGGTAATTTGGGCGGTTGGAAATGGAGGTGATCTCTAATTCTAATCGTTAGTGGGCATAAGGATCGATGCTCGATGTTTTGCCTCCATACCTGCTGGTTACACACACACACAACAAAAAAAGAAAAAGGACGACCCGCAAGAATGCGCCAAGTTGCAAGCCGAAAATTTTGGGGGTCGACCCAGGCGGCCGTCGGTGCGTCAAGGCACAGGCCTTCACGCCGGACATGAGGAAGCTGGGCCCAAGCCCCCGGCCCCGCTGGCCGCACCTCATGGGGCCCCGGAAAGCGCGGAGGATGGCGTCGGCGAAAACGAGACCTGGACCTTCTTACAAAAGGGCGCCTTCCCGTTGAAAAAAAAGAAGAAAAAATCAAAAGCTATCCGGGGGCTTAGAAAAGGTTAAAGGTTTCTTCTGAGAAGGGACATGGCCCCTTGGAGAAACGTCAAACAGTTTGCAAGGTATGGGCATCCCACTCGTCCACATCCCTATCACATCGACCTTAAGAAGACTCCCAACTTGCTGATTTGCTTGTTGGCTTGCCGTAATAACAAGTATATAGAAATAAAAGGCCATCCCCTCTCGAATTTATCCAAGGAAAAGACAGGCCATCAAACAGGATTTCGAGGATTTGGGGCTGGGTGAATTCGGTTGTTCGGACTGGGCGAGGCAGCTTTGTCATAAGTGCGATCCGACGGCTTGGGTCAGACCCAAAGAATGCCATTTGGAGGGAGATTGAGAAGTGCCTGTTGCGGGAGCAACCCAAGCGGGTTATGGAGGCGACCCGAGGTCGCCAAGTGACGTTCAGCTTTGCACGGGGCCGCATGGACATCGGGCCGCTTTGGGAGAATTTGACAAGGCTAACACCAAGCTTAAAGTGGCCTACACGCCCAATGAATCAAGAGGGCCGTGCCCATTCTGGCGACTGCCCCGTGCTACCCGTCAACTACGCGCTCACCTGCATCCCGGAGAGCAAAGGAAAAGAACGCAGGGTGAACGTTTCGGAAATGATGATGGACTAGGAGAAGGGAGACCTCATCCTAAGGCTCATGAAGGGGACCAGATTTCGGCAACGCCAGGGGCCTGACCCCGCCTGATGAAGATTGCTTTCCGATACCCTTTTGAATGGGCGCCGTCGTCCTTTCGAGGGGTAACTCCATTCTGAAGGCACACCACTGCCTCCCGTGCTGTAAGGTCGGGTCGAACCCGTTTGGGCCGGTCTCCGTATGTCTCCGTCTCTGCTTGGACCGTTTCATGTTCCCCCAACAGCATTTTCTGGATTTGCTGCCCTCCCACGAAGTGGTTATCTATGAGGCGGGTCATCCAGATTCCATGTTTGTCTCTTCTTGTAAGTAAGGGGGGTTAAGTGGGTTGTCAAGAAGCATTTCGCCTCTTCGGCTAAGGAGTTAAGCTGACCAGTTGCGTCATGTTTGAGCTGCCCTTGTCCCTGTAGCAAACATACGGCAGTGTGGAGTGACAGCAAACCAGTTTGATGTCTATGTACAGGTTGCTGAATTTAAGGGTAGCCAACCTCCTCATGCCAATGTCAGTGCTTCACAAGTATGTGCCAATTGCTGGGAATTTGTTTTAACATTGAGCCAGCACTCCTGTTCGTTCTGCTTTGAGGAATTGGCAAGTTGTTAGCGGTTTCCCTCCCTTGGGTTGCTTTCCATGTTTTCTTCAACCACAGCCACCCAAACCACCACTGAAGAGGATTGCGGATCCCTCCGCCCCTAGATGGAGGCTAGGGACGGTTTCCTTTCTGCTTTGCTTCCCCTTGAAGAAGGAGGGGTTGGTACTCAGGGCCCTCCAATCGTGTAGAACTCGCCCAGAGCTTCACCAAAGCTTGCCCACAGCTAACCCGCATGTCACTATTGGGGTGTGTGTCAAGACAGGGGGACCCATTGCATTCAAATCTTTGCCGCCGATTTGCAGCTGGGATAGGATCGGCTGCATCCCAATTTCCTGGTGGCAAGAAAGCCGCTGGCCTGAGGAAGGGTTGGATCATATGCAACACCACTTGCTCAGCGAAAATGCCAGGCCCGATGTTTGGCTCTAAGAAATGATGCATGGTAGATGTCTCACATTCTTGCCAGCTAACCTTTGCCGTCGAAACTGCTAATACTCAGGGGGCATCCTCGCTTGAGATGCAGAACCGCGGTTCGAGGGCGGCCAAACATGCGGCTCCCCCAGCCAAGAGGCCACTGCCGCATAGATGAGAGCATCCAAAGCCTCCGTTTGCACCCAGGTCCGCAAACAAAAGGGTCAGTCCAGGAACAAACCTGCATCTTTGTGCATCGAACATCCCCCGGGTCAGCTTCGCTCAAAAGTGGGCAGGACCTAGACAACCATGTTGGGTTAGTTACTCTGGTTTGGCAAACCCATGTCACCCTGTCCGGCACGTGGAGTGGCTCAAGCCAACAGGCTCCAGTTTGTCTCCAAGTTTGCGCGTACCACGTCAATCTGATGTAGCCTTGACTGTTGTGTAATATAGGGTGCTAATTCATTAGAACGGGACACTTTCGGACGCTTGAAAATCTGATTCCAGTCATGAATGTGGGGGTATGCGAGTGGCAAATAGTTTGCCCCTTCAAGTAGCGGGCTTTGACATCAAGGGTGATACTTCCATACCGAAGGGCGCGCGGATCCAGCGCGAAGCTTGCTGCAAGGCTTCCAAAGCGAAGCTGTGGCAGAGCTCCTGTGAGACCCATGGGTTCATGGCCGACCAGCGAGAGGCAACTGGGTCCAGCAAAAGCACCAAGCAAGTCCATTTGGTTACACCTAAGCTTTAAGTGGTGGTTTGAAGGGGAGAAAAGCGACATCCTCGAGAATACCCTCTTGGTGTTGCAGGGGAAACCACCCAAAGTAATTTTGAGAAGCCGCAAAATGTTGTCTTCAAGAGACGCAACACTGCAATAGTGCTTTTGGGGACACTTCTGGTCTCTCCAGTGTGATACGCGAACCTGACTGAGGAACCGGGGTGGATGTTTGAGAGCTGCCACGAATCAGGCCCGGGACCTCACGAATGTGTGAAAACAAGAAGCCTTACTCAGAACGTAGATGGGCACACTTCCCTTTCTTTGGGTAGTAAAAAGAGCAGTTTGACCCATGCGCCATCTGCCTCATCCTTGTTCTGGATTCCCGCTACGTATTCACCCTGAGACCCTTTGAGGCTCCCATTTGGTCAGACAATCCGCTGGCAGCCCGCTGGGAAGGCTCCCACCGATTGGCTCTCATGTCAGCATTTCTTGCCCTCACTTTCCCTCGAAACATCATCCCCTCCAAGCGACGATCAACTCAAATGGGCAAAGGCGATGTTCAGACTTACCCTCCCACCAATTAAGCTGGAACCTGACAGGGGGTACTAAGGAAACTGGTCCTCCAAAACCCCCCTGTCAGGTTCCATGTCGATTGGCGGGAGGGTAACCCATCAGAAATCAGCCGCTGGAAATTCTACAGAACAGCAACACCACAAACACGAGGAAGTGGGCTAAGAGCTATATACTTTCCCGCGAGTTTCTCATGCCCTCTCTCCAAAGTCTCATGGGAGCGGAACAAATGAAGGGAGGGTGTTGAAAAACAACCACCCTCTTGAAACGGACCCGCGAATCAACTTCCATCATTGATTGTTCAAAAAGGCTACCAAATGCACATATGCGCCAAAGTTCTTTCAAGAGGGCTCCTGAAAGAATACATCCCAAAGCCCCATTCCAAGGGCCTACCGCAAACATATTGCGGGGTAACATGGTTCACGCACCACTAAAATCATGATGGGGAGCATGGATTGTTTATTGCCTCCTACGTTCATTTCCCTCACTTTCCCTCGAAACATCATCCCCTCCAAGCGACGATCAACTCAAATGGGCAAAGGCGATGTTCAGAATTACCCTCCCACCAATTAAGCTGGAACCTGACAGGGGGTACTAAGGAAACTGGTCCTCCAAAACCCCCCTGTCAGGTTCCATGTCGATTGGCGGGAGGGTAACCCATCAGAAATCAGCCGCTGGAAATTCTACAGAACAGCAACACCACAAACACGAGGAAGTGGGCTAAGACGGGCTAAGAGCTATATACTTTCCCGCGAGTTTCTCATGCCCTCTCTCCAAAGTCTCATGGGAGCGGAACAAATGAAGGGAGGGTGTTGAAAGACAACCACCCTCTTGAAACGGACCCGCGAATCAACTTCCATGATTGATTGTTCAAAAAGGCTACCACCGCAAACATATTGCGGGGTAACATGGTTCACGCACCACTAAAATCATGATGGGGAGCATGGATTGTTTATTGCCTCCTACGTTCATTTCCCTCACTTTCCCTCGAAACATCATCCCCTCCAAGCGACGATCAACTCAAATGGGCAAAGGCGATGTTCAGACTTACCCTCCCACCAATTAAGCTGGAACCTGACAGGGGGTACTAAGGAAACTGGTCCTCCAAAACCCCCCTGTCAGGTTCCATGTCGATTGGCGGGAGGGTAACCCATCAGAAATCAGCCGCTGGAAATTCTACAGAACAGCAACACCACAAACACGAGGAAGTGGGCTAAGACGGGCTAAGAGCTATATACTTTCCCGCGAGTTTCTCATGCCCTCTCTCCAAAGTCTCATGGGAGCGGAACAAATGAAGGGAGGGTGTTGAAAGACAACCACCCTCTTGAAACGGACCCGCGAATCAACTTCCATCATTGATTGTTCAAAAAGGCTACCAAATGCACATATGCGCCAAAGTTCTTTCAAGAGGGCTCCTGAAAGAATACATCCCAAAGCCCCATTCCAAGGGCCTACCGCAAACATATTGCGGGGTAACATGGTTCACGCACCACTAAAATCATGATGGGGAGCATGGATTGTTTATTGCCTCCTACGTTCATTTCCCTCACTTTCCCTCGAAACATCATCCCCTCCAAGCGACGATCAACTCAAATGGGCAAAGGCGATGTTCAGACTTACCCTCCCACCAATTAAGCTGGAACCTGACAGGGGGTACTAAGGAAACTGGTCCTCCAAAACCCCCTGTCAGGTTCCATGTCGATTGGCGGGAGGGTAACCCATCAGAAATCAGCCGCTGGAAATTCTACAGAACAGCAACACCACAAACACGAGGAAGTGGGCTAAGACGGGCTAAGAGCTATATACTTTCCCGCGAGTTTCTCATGCCCTCTCTCCAAAGTCTCATGGGAGCGGAACAAATGAAGGGAGGGTGTTGAAAGACAACCACCCTCTTGAAACGGACCCGCGAATCAACTTCCATCATTGATTGTTCAAAAAGGCTACCAAATGCACATATGCGCCAAAGTTCTTTCAAGAGGGCTCCTGAAAGAATACATCCCAAAGCCCCATTCCAAGGGCCTACCGCAAACATATTGCGGGGTAACATGGTTCACGCACCACTAAAATCATGATGGGGAGCATGGATTGTTTATTGCCTCCTACGTTCATTTCCCTCACTTTCCCTCGAAACATCATCCCCTCCAAGCGACGATCAACTCAAATGGGCAAAGGCGATGTTCAGACTTACCCTCCCACCAACTAAGCTGGAACCTGACAGGGGGTACTAAGGAAACTGGTCCTCCAAAACCCCCCTGTCAGGTTCCATGTCGATTGGCGGGAGGGTAACCCATCAGAAATCAGCCGCTGGAAATTCTACAGAACAGCAACACCACAAACACGAGGAAGTGGGCTAAGACGGGCTAAGAGCTATATACTTTCCCGCGAGTTTCTCATGCCCTCTCTCCAAAGTCTCATGGGAGCGGAACAAATGAAGGGAGGGTGTTGAAAGACAACCACCCTCTTGAAACGGACCCGCGAATCAACTTCCATCATTGATTGTTCAAAAAGGCTACCAAATGCACATATGCGCCAAAGTTCTTTCAAGAGGGCTCCTGAAAGAATACATCCCAAAGCCCCATTCCAAGGGCCTACCGCAAACATATTGCGGGGTAACATGGTTCACGCACCACTAAAATCATGATGGGGAGCATGGATTGTTTATTGCCTCCTACGTTCATTTCCCTCACTTTCCCTCGAAACATCATCCCCTCCAAGCGACGATCAACTCAAATGGGCAAAGGCGATGTTCAGACTTACCCTCCCACCAATTAAGCTGGAACCTGACAGGGGGTACTAAGGAAACTGGTCCTCCAAAACCCCCCTGTCAGGTTCCATGTCGATTGGCGGGAGGGTAACCCATCAGAAATCAGCCGCTGGAAATTCTACAGAACAGCAACACCACAAACACGAGGAAGTGGGCTAAGTAAGAGCTATATACTTTCCCGCGAGTTTCTCATGCCCTCTCTCCAAAGTCTCATGGGAGCGGAACAAATGAAGGGAGGGTGTTGAAAGACAACCACCCTCTTGAAACGGACCCGCGAATCAACTTCCATCATTGATTGTTCAAAAAGGCTACCAAATGCACATATGCGCCAAAGTTCTTTCAAGAGGGTTCCTGAAAGAATACATCCCAAAGCCCCATTCCAAGGGCCTACCGCAAACATATTGCGGGGTAACATGGTTCACGCACCACTAAAATCATGATGGGGAGCATGGATTGTTTATTGCCTCCTACGTTCATTTCCCTCACTTTCCCTCGAAACATCATCCCCTCCAAGCGACGATCAACTCAAATGGGCAAAGGCGATGTTCAGACTTACCCTCCCACCAATTAAGCTGGAACCTGACAGGGGGTACTAAGGAAACTGGTCCTCCAAACCCCCCTGTCAGGTTCCATGTCGATTGGCGGGAGGGTAACCCATCAGAAATCAGCCGCTGGAAATTCTACAGAACAGCAACACCACAAACACGAGGAAGTGGGCTAAGAGCTATATACTTTCCCGCGAGTTTCTCATGCCCTCTCTCCAAAGTCTCATGGGAGCGGAACAAATGAAGGGAGGGTGTTGAAAGACAACCACCCTCTTGAAACGGACCCGCGAATCAACTTCCATCATTGATTGTTCAAAAAGGCTACCAAATGCACATATGCGCCAAAGTTCTTTCAAGAGGGCTCCTGAAAGAATACATCCCAAAGCCCCATTCCAAGGGCCTACCGCAAACATATTGCGGGGTAACATGGTTCACGCACCACTAAAATCATGATGGGGAGCATGGATTGTTTATTGCCTCCTACGTTCATTTCCCTCACTTTCCCTCGAAACATCATCCCCTCCAAGCGACGACCAACTCAAATGGGCAAAGGCGATGTTCAGACTTACCCTCCCACCAATTAAGCTGGAACCTGACAGGGGGTACTAAGGAAACTGGTCCTCCAGGACCCCCCTGTCAGGTTCCATGTCGATTGGCGGGAGGGTAACCCATCAGAAATCAGCCACCAATTAGCCGAATTTCCTCCGTCCGCGCGCGAGAGAGGGTCCTTGGGCTCGAGGTGCTGCGCCCGCATGGACTGCAGCACTGCCAGCGCCTGCCTGGGCTAAGGGCCGCTGGAAAGAAAAGAAACGCAAGCAGAACAAATGCCAGTGGGGTTGACCAGTGGTCAACCCTATTGGCATGTCTCTGCCTTTCTGTTGTTTCCATTTGTTTCCCAGTTTCCCTTGGCAAGGGGAAACTAGGAAACAACAGAAAGCCAGAAATGGACTCAGGGTTGACCAAGGGAACCCGCCAGAACGGACAGCTCCAAAACCTGAAGTAACTGGATGCCCAAGTTGGGCCTTCGTGGCTTCTGGGTTTGCCCCAGCGGCAGAGCCGGAGAACAACACATCAAATTTGCATACTACAAGGGCCTTAAATGAGTCGAATAGGGCTTTGGGACCCATCAAAACCAAATTCAGCCATGGTTGTTATAGGGGTAATTCTACTAGGCCCTTCTACCAAGCTACTCCACTTCCTTCCAATTTGTGTGGTTTTGTGGTTAGAGGTAGGTTCCCATGTGCCCTCTACAAGAACCAAGGGTTCAAATCCCCAGGCCAACAACCCAAACAACTACTTGAGTGGTACCTGATACACGGTTCCTTCAAAGCCACATTTACGCATGACTACCCTGAGTACATCTACTAGGCCCTTCTGCTAGGCCATAAGGTCATGATTTAGCACTTCCTCCCCTACAGGTTCACACGGAATTTAGATTTTCTTGAGTTTGGTTTTGTTTTGGTTTCCGTTTGGAACCAACCTAAACGGAGTTCTCCCGAACAAAGAAAAAAGGACAAACACACAAAAAACAAAAAACGCGTCTGAGCTGCTGCCAGTTCCGCGCCTCCGCAGCTCGGGCGAGCTGCTGCCGGCACCGCCTGGGCTTCGTTCGCTTGAACAACTGGGTGTCTTTTTTGGAGGGTACCCTTGTTTGGGTGGTTTAAAGGGACGCCAAAAGCAAACCACCCATGGCGGGCGTTTTGCATGGCTCATCAAAGCAAAACGAGAAGGGGTCGGGCTTCCCAACCAAAGGACGGAGGCTCAGCTTAAACAGGCAAACAAGGTGATGATTGAATTACCCAAACGGAAACCATGGGGACCCTGATACCAGAACACAAGCGCCGCTTCGACCTGAAAACGTGCGACAAACCGGTAACAAATCCCTTTGTTTATGCTTCTCATTTAGGCGTGGATTTAGGGCTGAGCGGGCTCGCTTCTCGACGCGCGGATGTTGCCGGCGCAAAAAGATTGACTCCGAGTTTGAACACAAAATGTGTGCTTCACGGACGTGCGATTGGGGAAGCGTGGTTAGAGACGCGACGTGCTGGAACACTATAAATTTCCATACAACTTGCGTTTTTTGCGACCGCTCGAGAATGCGCGCTGAGAAGCGCGATTCTGCAGGTAAACAGAGCCAAACACAAACATTTGTTTGGGCAAATGTACTTTTAGAATGGGTGAAAAAGTGCAAAGAACCGCGATGGGTGGAACCGCTGGTCTTGCTTCCGATCGGCGAGCTCGATTGAAATACATCATTTCTCGGGCACGGGTCACGACCCTTGCAAAGTCCCCATTCTCAGATCGACGAGTCAAGTTAATGATAGGGGCACAAGCAACTTTGGCGTTTGCTCTTTGGATCCCCACTGGAAGAACCCCAGAAATGGTCCCTCGCACAAAAACAAGCAAACACAAGCTGGAGGTAAACTCGGGGCCTCAAAGATGAAGCAATCCATTCCTTTCGCACAGATAGATGCAACTTGACTAGATCTGATGGGGGGGTGCTCCGGTGGTCCTGGTTCCCTTGAATACCAAAAGGGGTCCGAATCCCATTTTGAGAAACCTTCAGTTGCGCACTCGCTCGGAGTCAAGCAGCCGCTGCTTGTCCACCATGGCACCATGGCCAGCGCTTTCTTGGCCCAAGGCCAGCTGTCTCACGAATGAAGCCCAAGGCACAGCCAGCTAGGTGAAAATTTTAAAGGGGGTGGAGCTTTTTTGGTGGGCATCATGGTAGAGACTCATGTCCACTTTGAAGGTGGTTGCCTGTTAGAACCCAGGGCATGGCATGTTTAAGTGGAACAAATCCCGGCTTTGAAACAGCTGAGTGCAAACAGGTCTGGTTCGCGGTGATCAAATGCCATCCACAGATTTCTGCGCATGTGCAACTTGCTCTGGGCTAGTTTCCACGTTGATCCTACGAATCCAACATTCAGTTTTGATTGTGCTTATTACTTTGGTGGATGAAGGCCCCCCCAGACAAGCTAGTCTTCTTGGGAGTCTTAGGTGGTGTTCTTCAAAGGGTTCCCTAATTGCAGACTCGAACCTAGGCCCACAGGCAGCCAATGTCAAATGTATCCAAGCTTCCTTTTGCAGCTTGGGCGACGTCTAGCGCTTTTGAAAAGCTGAAGGGGAACAGTTGCAAGGACTGCCAGCAATGGACTCGTGCGAGACCCACACTGCCAACCCATCTGCCCTGGGCACAAACTATCTGCACAAATATCAAGTTTGACAATGGTACCAAGAATCCTCACAGCTGGATTCGCCCAAGCTGAGTTCAGAGTTTGTGCCGCGTGTTGTCCGCTCCATGCTTTGCCAATCTCCGAGCCGTGCTTGGAGGCGAGGGTGGATTCAAGCTTAAAATGTGACTTTCATAGGCCGCCTCAAAAGTGTTTGGACATGCACCCCCAACCTTGATGTCTAAAGGGTGTGGGGCCCATTCAAATTCACACCCAATCTCATTCGGTGGAGCTGGGTTAATCGACCTGATAGCCAAAAGGCACAAAAACATCAGGGTGCAAAGCCAAAAGCTGGCAGACATGCCAATTTTCGTGACATCTCAATGTCTTTGCTGGGTTCCTTAAAGGATACCTCCAACAAAGGGGATCCTCTGAAGCAGGCTAAGGCGATGCTTAAGTGGCCCAAGCCAGACGCACGCGCGATCAGGCGCCCAGCACCATTTTGCACCTGCTGGTCCTCCCTCATCCTGATGGCGACAGCGATGGGGTCGTATTTGGCGCCATTGTTTAAGAAAGTTCATGGGGGGGCTCATGTTTAGCCCCCGGTGAGCTCGGTATGTCCAGTTGCCTCCAGCCTCTTGGTCTGAGTTTCCGTGCTACGGGGGCCACAAAGCACATGTGCCGGAATTTGATCACCCCAAAGGCAATCGCAGGAACCCGAAGGCGACCCCCCAGCCCTAGCTTCGGCAAGCGAGCCATGCCCAATGTCACTTTCTTCCACATGTCACTTGTGCTATTGCGATGTCATAGGCTCCGGCTTTGTGAGTTCTCCAAGGGGTGCAATCAAATATGTCTTGTTTAAGGGGACCCATTTTTAGTGGTTTTAAAGGCACACAAAAGACAACACGCATTTTGGGGTCCTCTCAAAAAGACACGCCCAAATAGTTTGTCCTGCGAGCCGTCAACCTGCGCACTGTCCGGAATTCGCCTGGCTTCTGTGCGCCTTGCACTTGTGTAGCAGCCAACCTCGGCTCGAGAAGCAATCCTTCCCATTCAGAAGGTCCCCTCACCACGAAGATGAGTTTGCTCATCCGCCAAAAGCCAAAGCCCTTAGTTTGAAGGATGAAACCGTGAATTCCAATCTTGATGAGCAAACAAGTTGACTCACAACGCACTGACGTGTCGACACACCTGGGACAAGATCCATCTAACCACTTGAACAAACCATTAAACCATGCAAAGAATCGGCCTTAGACAGCAGGATGCCAAACGGTTGACTTTGTCATCTTTGTCAGGAGGCATCCAAACCAGCAACAGGAATAAAAAAGCTAGTGTCATCGAGCGGGCTTTTCTGCAAACAGGTTCGCACAAATGGATGATCTAATTTATATATTCTATTTGGCCAGTCAATACAGGTAACAGTAAAACCATGCAGGTTCCAGCGATGCCCTTTTGGGAAATCCAAACAGAGGATTTGGGCCCCAAGCAATCATTCCGAGGCAGAACTGTTCCATCCAGCAAAAGGTGTTGTCCCTGCTCAATGGCACGACTCTTTTTCACCTCAGCTCTGATCTTTAGGCTATTGGGCAAATTTGGCATTTCGCAAATAGCAGAGTGCTGACGAAAAGGCCTCTTCACCCAACTGTGGGGCACAAACATGTGTTTTTTGTCAGATTCTGCTTCATATTTGGCCTACCCTAAAATATGCATGAAACATGGAGAGGACCCCAGGCCTGTCTGCATTGCGCTTCTGCTCTTCATGCCACATCTCGTTTGCCCTCTTTGCTTGTCTTGTGCAAATCTCTCGCTCGCTGGCCTACAGGCACCTCACCCTCACTTCTTCTTCATCTGCATCAGAATGCCTCAGTTGGCCAAAGGATCCACAAACCAAAGCTTGCAATGAGACTCAGCCAGGAAGACGCTTGATGGCATTGCCTTCAGCTGGAAAAGTGGGTCTGTCTGGGGGGCAGTTTCCGACAACTGTACTAAACATCGTTCATGTTTACTTGCTTTTGAATAGCCCGATTCTGACAAAACATCGGCAGCTGCAGCTGCGCTGGCTGCCAAGTTCAAACACCCATACTTGATGCCGCAAGGGAGTTCAATACGATGTCCAACGCCGAGATGCAGCTCCCCGCCGGGCACCGGCAATTCACCGCGACGCACGGCGGCCGTGTGGCTTGCGGCGCTTTGGGCGCTGCTTTGCGCGGCAATGAGTGCGCGGTGGGCCCCAGGCGGCGCATCAGCAGAAGAGTTGCCTGCAGTGAAAAGCAAAGAAACGCATCCACAAACGTCTCAAAATGAACTAAAGGCAAACCAAAGGGATCTTCAAAAATATGACGGGTTGATCAATCTCTTGAATCACTACAACAAGCAGTTGAACAGCTACGTCTTAAACTGGGCATCCCTCTGTTTCGTGGTGCGCGAAGCGAGATCGATAGGAAACAACATATGATTTGCAAGTCCCCCCCCCTCGCGCCCTGAAGTTGTCGACTGATAGCTCAGTGGATGCAATAAGGACATGGATCCTTTCATATTTGCCTGCCGTGTGCATGTCGAATTCATGGGAGCCATGGTGACTTGTGCTGCCGCCTTCAATTTGGCGCCTTTCCCCGGGCAACTTGGGGCAGTCTTGGCTGTATTGTCTGGCGCGCACCCTCTCACATCCGGCTTCTCGGGTTGTTTGTTTCTGCCTGGCCCCCCCCCCCCCCCCCGTCCGTTATGGGGCTCTCTGACTAAAGGACATGGGAAAAAGAACGAGTCCCCTAGTATTTGCCGGAAACTTGGTGAGCTCCCCATGTCCCTTCAATCATCTCAACGCACCATAACCAACTATTTTAATCGAACCTGTGATTGAATCCCCTTGCCCTCGAAGTTGTCTGAGATGCGTCAATCCTCAACTGCACCACCCTACACAGGAGCTTTCCCATACATGCTTGCGGATGTAGACCCGCACAAAATCCGACACAGTTTGTCAGGTTGGGAACATCAGAAGTCAAAAGCAATGCAAAGAGCCATGGCATCAAAGCCGGCTCATCAAAGCAATGCGCCAGCCATCCCAAGTCAGACCCCTTGAAAACATCCATGAGCTGCGCAAGCTGCTGACGTGCGTCCCAAACAAAAGGAATCCGGGAACTCGCTTTTACTTCACGGGTAGCGCCATCATCTCCCGACAGAAACAAGGGCCACGGCTCTCCCGATCTGAGGCTGCGCCTTTGAGTCCTGACAAAAGGCCCTTACATTGAAACCGGGTGGGGGGGATCACCTTGTACGTTTGATGGCAGGGCGTTGGGGATTCCGCTTCCTCAAGTCTTTAAGTGCCAAGGGATGGGTTCCCGTGGCTTTTTCCCTCGGGCCTTCCTTTCCATGTTTGACTTTCGGTGCAGGGACCCGACGTCCCCTCCAGAGCCGTGGGGCCCATCGCTGGCTCTCTCGCAAGCCCACCGTGGGGGGCGGCATCACCCCGTAGGAGTCCTGGTGGCTCGAAACGGGAGGCAAACCCCGGAACTAGCTGGATGAGTCAAATCGCTCAGCCGTCTGAAGCCAGGGACCCTACAAACGCCATGGGTCCCAAGCCGGTCCCAAGCCGGTCCCCGCTGAAAGTTAACCGCCATTGGATTCACTATCCCTCCCTCTGCCGTTGTGTCCGGAGGCTCTTGACTTGGCAACACCCACTGATATTCAGCATTAACGATGGGTTCCTACATTATGCCCAAAGTGACCGTCCTTTGGGAAACAGTTGAAACAAAATGAGCCAACTCTGGAATTAGCCGTTAATTGTGGGGATGATTCTCCTTGGGGACCCTTTGGTGGACATCCGCATGGTGATTAAAGTCCACCATCATTCTTTGCGGTTGTTGCCATTCTATCGGAATTTGTCTGGGCTCAATAGGGGAGTCAAAAGATTAGACTCCTCCATACCCCTTTGATTTCCTTTTGCGGAACTTCAAGAGCATTGGCTGTTTCTTTCTGCCCACTAGGGGCCCGGATAGATCGCCTGGTCAGCGCGAACCTTGTCGCGCACGCCAGGTTCTTTCAGGGTTTGCAAAATGCCGACCTTTTCCCACCTCGTACTGGCCGGTGATGTTCGCAGAGACAAAATGCAAAGAAGAGCAACCTCCACGAAGCAACAAAGTCCTTCCAAAATGAGGATTTCTCATGATTTCCCGGTTTCACGACAGGGTGCTGAGCAATGACACTGCTCGAGTCCTTTTTACTTGGGTTCGTCTTGCAGTAGAAGCCATGCTCCGTGAGATAGTTCACAATGTCACCCACGCTCCTGGGGCTTAATGCCGTAGAGTCAGTCAAACATGGCCAAGAACAACCCTTTTTCAGGCTGAAAGTGGAAGGGGGGCATTTCCCGAAAATGGAACACTTCCTTGAATGTTGAAAATTGAATACCTTTGAAAGCTATTAACGCCTTGTGGAACCCGAACATATGTTTCCCGTGTGGGAAGCTTAGGATTCCCACAGCCGGGAAACCTGAGGGAACAATTGCCTTATGTTGATTTTCGCGCGCGGCAAATTGGCATCAGTGTCGCTGAGGGGGATTGTTCGTTGTCCACTGCGGACACTACGCTGGTTACATCGTAGTTGAGCCTTCAGACCAGAAAGCATCACAGGGGGGAATAAGGAGCATGGACAACTATCTTAACAGGGATTCCAAATTCAAATACCTCAATAGTTGGGCATGTAACACAGCTATGGGCTGCTTCGAAAAGCCTCTCACTCTATGAGACATCCTTCGATTCCATTCAGAAGACGGACAAAAATGCAAGCTTGTCAAACAGCTTGCTTGCTGGTGAATGGGATGCTCGTCGCCGCACTCCCTGCAGGGAAGGGCCTAGCGCGAAACATTCCTCCCATGCGTCCGCCAAAAAAAAAAGCAAGTGATGTTGCGATGTTGTGGTTTTGCGGGCATGCCAGGGTGCTGGGTTTTCACATCGGCCACGCCCAGCTCGAAGAACATCTGCACCATCTGCGCGGTGGAGATGTTGGGGGGCGAGCCCTGCGCGCTCTTTGCAAACTTTCCGGCCACCTGGTCCTCGCTGCTCGCGCGCGCGGTTCTGGAGACCGTAAGGTTGGTCAAAGAGCCATTTTTGGGTCCCCCTTCTTCGACGCCCAAAAGAAGGCGAGCCTAAAGCAAAAAGACGCCCCCTAAAAGCAAAGGAGTTTGCTGCAAATTTTGAGAGGTCATGGCTGCCTGGCGTTGTCCTGGCGCTTTGCCTCACCTAAGAACTGACTGGCGTGCTGATAGATGTTAAGCAATGCATTGGGCGTTGAATCGGGAGTCTTTTTAAATACAGAGTCAGACGCACAGACACAGAGACTCGCAGAGACGCACGGGGACACACAGAGACACACACAGACACACACAGAGACACACAGAGATACACAAAGACACAGAGACACAAACACACACACACACACACAAACAAACACACGAACAAAAACACGTAGATCAAGATAGATCTGGGGAACCAAGACCCATTCAAAGCAGTACCTACCATGGGAGTGCCTGGTCTTCAGCTAATTACCGCTTTGAGCAGCATTCAGTCAGCAGATACTCACATGCTCCGGCTTCCAGTAATCTGAAGGAGAGAACATACATGCCTCGCTCACGCTGTCGGAGCAACTTTGTGGGAGTGCGGGACATGACATGTCAATTTGACATGAGGTGACGTGGTCCGTTCATGTTGATACACCACCAAGACGAATAACAAAAAAAAACATCCTTTTGGCCGGTGAGCACAGCCCTTTCCTCTTAGACACCTTCAGGGGGGTCGGCGTTCCGGAAATTCGAACAACCGCCGGGCCCAAGCAAAATAAACTTTGGAAAGTGGTTGCGCTCTCTGAAAACACGTTTATCAGAGCCAAAAGGCAGACACTTTGCGGCTTTTGAAGTTCTGAACAATACATGCATATACGTCTTGAAGCATCCTTTTAGCTGGAAATATTGGGGGAGGTGTCATGCTCGGCGATTCATTTCTTGCGCAAACAGCAGGACTGCGCACAAGCACTTGCATGGCCAAAGAATGCTGAGACAGTCTCAAATTTGACAATCACAAGCCACCAAAAAACCATTTCTGGCAGTAGTGTTCCTTCAAATGAGGGCTGGTATTCTTCCAACAGGTTGATTGGACAGGTGAAGATTCGAGCCGAATGCTTCAAGCTGTTCGACTCCAATAAGCAACGTGTGCTTCCAACCTTGGAGACACTGAGCACGAAGCCAGCTGTGAAGTGTGGGTGTCACGACCTTCCAAGTGCCGCAGAAGCATATTATCGGAACTGACGCACAAACGAAAACAAACCAAGGCCATCCAATGCGTAACTGCACGCAATATATATATATATATATACAAACAAGATCATGCATCATATACTACGCATATGTGTCGAGTACTGAGTTTACACATCAATTTATTCAGTTTTCAGCTCGGTGCACCGCGATAAAGCGCTCCCGAAACGAAGTCCTGAAGCACCTTTACCACGCCGGTCCGCTCTTGGGCTGCCCGCGCCACAATGCAGCGATGCCCGGCGATACGCGAGGCGCCGGCGAAGGCGAACCGTGCGCGCTGCGCGAGCATCGTCTCAGTGCCTTGGATCGGTCTCCCTGTGGACCCGTCTTTGGAAGCCAAGCTGGTTTGCTCACCTGCGACTGGGAAACATGCCGCAAGCAAAAGTCGCCGCTCGCCTGCCCTTGTTGCTTCCATTTGCGCGGACAATCCCAGGCTACACTCCGCCACCCCCCTCCCACCGGTTCACGCTGTTGCAATTGACACGTGTCGGACATGCTTTCGCACATCTCGCATGATGCATTTCCCGCGAATGATTGACATTTCCGCTTCCCGCTTGGTCGTCTTATCACAAATCGAGTTGTGCTCGAAACAGCGGCTGCAAGGATGGAAAGACCACACTGCCCGTTTCGCCCGTAGCTGCTCAAGAGCAAAGCGACCTCACCATTATTGGTCGCTCCCTCTTCATGCCCGAGTCTCAGCACAAGCAAATGGGAACAACGGGCACGACAAATGAAAGCATGTGTTTGCTATGTGGTGCAAACAAATGCTGAAACATGATTTGGAAGCATCCCCTTTTCAGGCAAATACGATCCCGTCGGATCCCTACAAAGGGATGGATCCCAAACGGGTAAAACTAACACCCGACCTGCAGGCCAGGTCACTTGATGGCACCGGAGTTGCGGCCCACCTGCCCCAAGGCGGCGAAGATGGCAGAAAGGAAGAGGCAGAAGAGGATAAAGCCAGCCAGGTAGTCCCAATCCATGGCCGCTCACGGCCGCGCGGTTGCTAGAATCCCAACTGCTTGAGCCACCAGCGAGCCACAGGTTGGCATTGCAGAACCCCCTACAGCCATCCTGAGAACGACCTTTGGGTGGATTCAGGACGTGCTTGCTGCCGAGACAAAACAAGCTGCCCTTCAACACCAGTTTCAGGTAGGGGGATGGGAGGTATGGAGGCTTACATGCCTCGAACATGCTGTTTTAGGCAGAAGGTGCCCCTCCCCCCCCCCCCACAAGTCATACAAAAATACATGGGCCCCGTCGGAATAGGAGCCCAAGCAAATCCCTCACCGCCAGACCTCTGCATGGCTGCCGCCCCCTTGGGAGCCTGGGAATGACAAACGTGGGATCCCCAGTTTCAAGGGGATCCTTCACTGGTTTTAAAGCAAACAACAGTTTGTCTGCCAGGTTGATTGCTGCGAGGTCAATATTGCAAGGGAAAAAATGTGTAGAGTGCTGGCGCACCCCATCTTTTCTTTGCGGCAACTGGTGGTGAAGCAATGTTCAACCAAAGGTGGCACAGGGGGCCCAAAAGAGCTTTGAGCCATCTACAAGTCGATTTGCCTTGGAGAGCAGAGTTTGTAAATTGGCAGCCGGACGTAGGGGACCAAATACGGCTTTGCGTTTGCTTCCCTTTCAATGACCTGGACATTGCTGGGGGATGCACCTAGTCTCAATCAGAACGTGGGCTAGGAATCACAGAAAGGCAGTCTGAGCGCCGCGCTCATCAGATTTCCCAGCCTGGCAAGGGATGCAGGTTGGCTCCGTTGAGGGCAAAGCAAAGGGCGATGTCGTGGCAACCAAACTCCAAATATCTTGTGATATTTTGTATGATGCTCTCTCTTTTCCATCCCTCCCTCGCTGTCTAGCTCTATCACTTCTATCTTTATCTCCATTCCTATCTCTATTCTCCCCCCCCTCTCTCTCTCTCTCTCTCTCTCTCTCTCTCTCTCTCTCTCTCTCTCTCTAGTTCTGCCGTTGCACCTGAGTTGTGGGGCTTAGAGCACCGAACTGGCCCTTCGGGGCCACCAGCGAACCCTTTAGGACTCCAGCGTCCGGCCTTCCGGCTCAGTCATCCAGAGTGGCGAGCAGCGGGCCATCGTCCAAGTCCCAGTCTGATACATCCTGACGCCCACCTCGCCAAGCTCAGAACTGAGTGTTGTCGCTCTTGTGTGCCCGCAGCGGCCGGGTATGTTCGTTGGGTGTGATCCTGATCAGTTTGTTTGAAGGGCTGGCTAAACCATCCCCATCCTCCTTTACATAAACACAACCTGCTGCACCAACTTTTGGAGATGATACTGGACATACTTATTTTCCGGGTCCCTCGAGGTTTGACTACCAAAGTCCTTGCATCGGCTGCGCCCTTTCATGGGCACAAACATGAGTAATCGTGCAATTTCCTTAAAGATTGAAGCTCAACAAACTGTCAAGCCACGATGCCGAAGACAACCGTCAAATTCTGCCGACTTGTCAAACATTGGCCGTGGTTTGAACATGAGCATTGAAGAATTCACAGCCACATCCATCGGTACGACAATATGCCTGAAGCATTTGCAGCGTCAGGGTTCTGAGCCTGTCCAAAACGGCCTCAAATGGGCCACGGGGTCCGAGGCTCCTTCGGCAGTTAAGTTTGATCCCCAAAACAGGCGGTTTCCTGTTGGCGTCCTTTTCAAACCACGGCAAAAAGGGGCACCCTGAACAAACACACATGCCCTCACACACACACAAACACACACACGCTGATGGGCTCGCATAGGGCAAACAAGCCGAAGGAGCTGGACGTCTGCGAAGTGGTGAACCTCAGCCGCACTGTTGCAGGCGAGTTGCGGTCAGATGGTCCAGGGCTTCATTCGAATCCCTTTGAGGGATGTCCATCTTTTTGAAAGCCCTTAGCTCAGGAAGCCCCAAAACTCTGTACAATCCCTCTTTGTGGGGAAAGGGGGAATCTCTGGGTTTGGAAAAGCACATTCATCTTAATCTGATTTTCTTTCGCGGTTGGGATGGAACCCAGATTTTCCCTTTGTGGGCTCCATGCAAGGGAGCTCAGGTTAGCTGCATCTCTGGGGGCACGGGATCTTGTTGGACCTTTTCTCTGTCTGACGACCAGAACAATCTTAAACATTTGGGATAGGAAGACACCTGCCAAAGAAAGGGGTCTGCAAACAATGCAATACTTCCAAGCCTAAGATCCGGAACTCCGAAGGAACCGGCCTTCATGATGGTTTTATGCTTACATCGCCGTCAAATACAGAGAGATTCTTGACAACCGAACAGGCAAGTGATCTTGGCAAATTACTAATTAGAATTCCCGAGCCGGAACTCAGGAATCGTCTGTTTAAGCTTCCTGGGTGAGCTCCATTTCCCCACTTCCGGTTGGTTAACCAAGGCCGCAATACCCCCAGCCCTGTCGCCCTTGGACCGGGGCGCCAGAGGCTCAAGGCCCAGCGCGGGCCTGCGCTGAGCGCCAGCGGCCTTACCTCGTGCAGAAGCTCCGAGGAGAAGAGGACAACGGAGCCCAGCTCCGGGCAAATGTCCTGAGGGCCCTCCTGCGAACCAAAAACCGGCGAAAAGAAAGTGACCGTCAGAAAAAAACTGGTGCTTGAAACAACCAAACTGGCAAACTGGAAGACTTGGATAAATTATGATAAACTGCTTCCCCTATGGTCAGGCTCTGGTTGGGGTTTGGAGCGGTTTCGGCGAAGTTTCGGAAGGGTTCCAGCGTGTTCCGGGGCTGTTGGGGGAAATTTTGTCCCAAAATGAGGTTGGCTGATAAGGGGTGTCCCATGTCAGAAAGGCTCCTTCATTGGTGGAAACACGCACCACAAAAAACAAGGCTTTGTCGAAATTAAATGGCTCAAATTCCAAATTATGGTTTAATCATCCCCTTTTCTTACCGACATAAAGGGAAGTGCGCCAACTACTTTCACAGTGGAGTAGCTTTGTGGGTTGCCGTGACAGCCACGGATTCAACTAGGAGCGAAAGACCTGACAGGTCAAGGGGCCGACTCGAGGTCCAAGGGGCCGACTCGCAGTCAAGGGCAGGTAGCAAAACAGGCGATCTGCAAAAAATCAATCGTATCCACTTCGTGGTTTCCGGACTCAGACCCGCCCCCCCCCACCCCACAAACAAATAACGCAACGCAACTTGTATTTAGCAACAAGCCAGGGGACCATCAATCACATTTATGCTCTTCAGGTATCAAGGCCTCCCAACTTGGCCAGACTCCCTGCACAAGGCTAACTAGTAAAAGGTTTCTTGGGAAGATGAAGGGAAGCCAAACAGGCAAGGGAAAAAGCGCTTGCAGCAGGTTCCTCGTGCGAGACAAGTGCGCAAAAACGGCCCCATTCCTCTGTGAAGAGCCGCAGGCACCCGCCATCCTCCAAAGACCATGAGGGATTCAAGTAGCCTCACAGCATGGCCCGCACCATGTAAGACCCATTGGGGGGCAAAAGGAGGGACCTTTCATGACCTTTCAAAAGGAGCGCCCTGGTAAAACCCGCGTCCGTGGGGGGGGGGGCTTTGTTCACCTAAGCCAGAAAGACTCTGGGATTTGGAGGGATGCCTCGAAGCAGAGCAGCCCATCCGCCACGTAGCCCGGGGTGTCAATATAGGGATACCCAACTGTGGGCTTCGGTTTTCTCTTGATGGCACTTTAAACCAGCCTCAAAAGGGGCACCCCCCAACAAATACACGTCACCTGTGCCCTCTAAGCACGGGCGCAAGCCAGGTGCTGGGCTTGAAGGAAACAATATCTTCGGAGGCCTTCCTTGAGGACATGGCCAAAGCATCCTGGAATCCTAACATGGCTGGTTGCAGGGGCATCCTACAAAAGCAAAGTCAAGTCGAAGCCAAACTTCGTTGACCCGCAAACTCCAATGCAAGCTGGCAGCAAATTGCGGTAAGGCTCCGGTCATCCGTGCCGTTCGTGTCAAGGTGTGGCAGGTAAAACCCCCCAGGGTCGTATCTAGCCAGAGTTGGCTCGAACCGTCCCGAGATGGCCGGGTCCGTCCTTCGATGCGCTGCGTCCAATGCAAGGGCTGAGGTGCAAATTGGATGGCTACCGCTCCACTTGAGAGTTGGAAAACACCTCCCCAAGAAACCGCAATCTCTGGCGCCGATAATTAAATGTTGGGTCTGGTTTAATATCACCCCCCCCCCTCGGGAGTAGTGCCACCAGTTATCGGGGTCCTCTTTAGTGAACGATTCGAGGGTCTGTGTTCGACTTCGACTTTCCACTACTTACTTGAGTATCGCCAAGTCCAAGTTTAGTATAGCAAATACTTACCGTCAGATTCCCAGTGCTTCGTTTAGTCTTGTCAAGTTTAAAATTAGTATTGCCAAGACCAATTCTCCGATTCCCAATACTTCAGTATTACCAAGTCCAAACTTAGCATTGGACAGGCTTTGAGCTTTGAGTTGGGGAAAGCTTGGGATGCTGGGGCTCGTGTCACGGTGCAAAATACTGACTGCCGCCGCGACACTTTCGATTCCCGAAGCCGCCTGAAACTGATGGGAATACAAGAGGGCTTACTTTTACCTATCATCTTGAACAGTCAATGGACATGGCCCCAGCAACACAAGTGGTGACAGTAAAGAAGCAGCAAGGCTCACATATTGTCCGGACAGTGTACGCCCAAACGGCGCCTTCCAATTTCTGCAAACCTGCCATCTGATTCTCAGCCGATTCCTAGAGGATCAATCCATAGAAAAACAGCCAGCATAAGGGACAAGCAAATAACGACTCAACCATTTGGAGCACGCCCCACCCATGCACTCAACTATCCACTGCACTTCTTGTGACCCCTCAGCCCTTGACAACGGAGCCCGTTTTTGCTCGAGGAGCCTTGCGCAGTGTATAGAATCTGGACAAATTCTTTGAACTGCGGCATCTTCTTGTTTCTCTTGGGGATTTCCAATCGTCGGGTCATTTGGCACCCGAGCACACCCCAAACCCACTTTTTCTTGAATTTGGACCTGGCCTTCCTTGGCAGGACTCAACAAAACGGGCCGTTGGTTTCCTCAGTGCAGCCACGGTGCTGCAGGGCGTACGCCAGCTCCTCCAATTTGTCGCAGATGCGCAAGAGGTGGGGAAACCTCGGGGTGCTTCGCTTGCCGCTTGGGCCATGCACCCAAGAGACCGGCCTAAAGATCCAGCCTTCGGACCCGGAACTTCGACACCACCTGGGGCTTGGTTGGGAGATCAGACAAAGTAGGGGGATGCCACAAAAAGATGCGGTTTCCCTTGGGTTTCACTTCCAACCTAGAAAAGGGCACCGTCAAACAATTGTCAGTTCACATTGGGCTGAGCGACTTCCGCTGTGCCTGGCGGCTTTGCGTCAGGGTCAGGATATGGTCTCGCCTGGCGAAGCGGCGCAAAAAAAAAAGCGCCGCGCCTATAGAAATTGGTGTGGAGCTGTTGCAGCGAAACAAATGGGGCTGTAACTCATGCAGCCGGAAATTGCGCCAACACCGGAATCTGCGACATGACAAGTACTACCCTTCGCCATTCTTGCCTGCCAGGACATTCAATGCATGCCACGTGGAGGCCCTCAGATTCCACCCAAATACCCCTGAATTCCTGAAGCCCCCACGAATTCCCATGGCCCTTGCGCAGGACCCTTCCGGATCCAGGCGGCCTGACTTCTTGGGACTGGCTGTCCACTTGGCCCGGCACCAGGTCGGCTGCCTGACCTTCGACTGGTTTCATGGGGCTCGCTCTCGCCGGGAGTCGGGAGGGGGCGAGCATCTGTGGATGAAAATGTGAGGAAGGGCTGCAAAGCGCTGAACACGTTGACACCGGCACTGGCTAGAAAGCGGCCTTTGCAATAGCAGAAGAACAGGAGACCGCCCAAAATGTATGCCTTGGTGCTGGATGACTTCTCTGGAAGGATGCATTTCTCAGGTCCGTTGAAGGAAAGCAGCCCCAGTTTGACTTTGATGACCCCCCGAAAGCGTCCAAATCATACCCCCCACCCCCAACTTAAGGAGTGTGAGATTCGAACACTGCCTCTCGAATAATTGGCCCTAGATGCACTCCTCCAAAGCGCCGGCGCAGTCAGCCAATACATGCTGCCACCTGCGGATACAAGAGCTCAGGATCCAACGCCTCCAAGGTATGAGGACAACACACGCACCTGGCGTTGCGATTTGTTTGTTCTATGACCTGAAGCCAGGGATATGTATAGGACCAACCTGAGCTCAAGGCGATGCCCTGGGCATGTATTGTACCAGTCGAGTAAAACAGGGAGGCCCTGGTTTCATCGGGACATGTCGAAAGAAACGCATCTGAGCAAATTGTACCTGCTGGAGATGCTTCCCGCGGAACCTACGTGCAAGGACTGGACAAACATCGACCCCTGCTGTTGGCACAGTGTACGGCAGTTGAATTTCAAGGGCGCCCTTTCCAAAAAGAAAGGGCACCACACTCGGTGTCTGGGCCATACACATCCAAGGCTTGGCGCCCAACACGCCGCTTGCAGAGAATGTCTTCTGCGTACGGTTCTGATACGTCGCTGATGCTCGCGCTTTGAGGGAGTTACGCATCCCTTTCTGGCGGAATGATGTGCAAAGGTGTGATATGAGGGCCCCTGGGAGGCGGGAAAGCCCCGGCTTTTTCTACATGGGCGGCCTTCGCGCGAATGCCGGCTGGCGCAGCAAATATAGGTCACAGAAGTTCCTGACACAAATGCACGGTACCCTGCCTACTTCAGCCTTTAACCCGCACTTAAAATTGTAATTTCCAGATGCTGGTCATCTCAAGTTTTTAGATTCTGGAATCAACAAGGTCCCGGCGCAACTCCTGCAGACCTGGCAATGCCCTGGCTGCCATGGCACAAGTCCGACGTATTCCGGCTTGCCTCGGAAGCAGCAGCCATCGCTTGCGTGCCAGCGCCGAGGTTTTTCCGTCCGGAAGCTTCGGCAAAGCAAAGCCAATCCTCAGGCGATGTCTGGGACCCTATGGGCCCCTCACGTGTGAGACTTTTCTGAGTTGATGCTTTAGAAGCCAAATACCACAAGCTGCTGAACAAGCTTCGCAAACAAATCACCCGCACTGTTCATGGTTTCGAACCCCTCAGCTCAGGCAACCATTTTGATTGCTCTTCCACCCACGAAACTGCTGGGTAACCCTCGATGTTTTTTCCGTCCTCACTGGCACAATAGCTCTTCAAAAGGGGGAGGCAAAGGAACAGATCCTATTTGTCTTTGGGGGGCTGCTCATCAATGAGAGACACTGACAAACTCCGACACCAATGAAAAATCGTCCGTCCACCTGTGGCCCCAAGAAAAAAAGATGTCAAACATCAGGCGGCCAAACTGACATCCCCAAAGCCATCCAGCTCAGGTCCTCGGGGTCCTCGGGTTGTATGGTGTATCCCTTCACAACGGTTGTCCCCGGTTTCCTGGCCTTTTCGGAAACTGGGCAAAGATTTCGCCCTCCAACCTGCCGGAGTTTGGCTCGAGGTGCCATGACCCAAAGGCGCCCAGTGCAGCACCCAGTGCAGCGCCCAGTGCAGCGCCGCGCATAGATTCGGGAACTAAGACATGGTCATGCAAACATTGGGATGGCTGGCCGGCAGACTGTTCTCATACATCCCGACAAAAAATAAAACAAAAACAGGAAAGGTCGAGGAAACTATGCATCCCTATACTTCAAACCGAAACAACTCACAACAGCCAGTTCACATAACAAGTGCCCAAAAGGTGATGTTCAAGACACCCACAGGTGACAATACAAAGAACCTGACAAATGTACATTTTCTTGAAACATTGAGGTCAAAACATTAACCTCGGGATGCACACATGACTGGGAGGGAGTGGGGGAATCCCAAACAAGGTGGCTGGCTTGATGACATTGGGTGTCCTTTTTGGAACGGTCCCTTCAAAGGTTGATGACATGAGCCTTTCTTTTTCTGAAGATCCCTTTTTGGGGATTGGTTTGCGAACCGAACAGAAACCATCCTCTTGACAAAGCAGGGTCGCCTTATGTCGCCTTCAAACAATGCCATGGCCTGGGATCGCCTAAGGTCAGTCTATGCCTTCAACCGCTTCTCAGAAAATTCGGACAGTTGTTCGGAGCAAGGGATGTCGAGGCATTGCCCAGTCGCCCAAGTCTCCCCGGCAGCTGAATGGCCACGGGTCGTCGCATTCCATACTATCAAGCTACCACAGCTGCTCCCATTCTCCATCGACTCATGAACTCACTGAATGCAATTGCAATCAACAAACCTTGAAAAGCGAGGTGTGTCTCAAATGAATGCACGCCTCCGCATCCATTGGGGAGGCTCGACCCTTTGCGCAGAGCTGGGGCAAAGCAAAAGGCATGCGCGTCAGCTGGAAGAATGCTTTTCGCGTGCGCTCTCATCCAGGAGCGCAGCGCGATGGGCATCGTCTGCCGCAACATCGCGCCAGCCTGGCCAAATCATTCTTCTTAAGTAAGGTTGGGGGTGGATTTTTGCTGCGACAATGCATTCCTCATTTCACCCATACCACGGGATTGGACAAATGAAACAAGCTACTCTGTCACTGAAGTCAGCAGCCTATGAACCCACTTCCAGCAGGCAACATTTGATTTGCAGAACGCTCTCTTGGTAATGAGATTCCAGACTCAAAACACCTGGCTGGGTCAAACGGCCATGCCCCTGACCCAGATCGCCCACGGGTATAGGGACTAGAAATCAGGCAGGAGTTTAATTCATCTCGAGCTCTCGCTCTGGTCGCTGTTTAGCTTGACCTGCAGAATCTTAAGCCTAGTGTTGTCCGTTGTGCAGCGCGCAAATGCATTTCGCGTTGTCTGCGCGATGGTGTGTTTCGTTGCTGGAGCTGACTGACAGACAAACAAACAAACAAGCCGACAGGGACGGAAGGACACACATGTCCAAAAGCATGCGTGCAACGCGTGTGGGTGGTGTTGGTGTTGGTGTGGGTCTGGGTTTGTACGCGTTTGTGTGCGGGAGGCATAGATGATGCCCCCCAATCCAAAACATGCCAAGGGCGAGCAGCGAGAGGCTGTAAATGCTCGGCACAATGCAAAAAGGACATCAACTGGTGGCCCCTTTAAGGTCATAAACGCCCTCAGTTTTGAAACTTCACCTGTCTTTCCCAGCTGAACAAGGCTCCTTTCACCACCTGGGAGGCGGCCAAGATCCCGAAAAGAAAGAAGCTCGCTCACCTTCTTCATGGCCAAATTGGAGCTCAACAGGCCCCCCAAGCTGGCGCCCTTGTTTTGTTGGTGCCAGCCTGCTGGGCAGCGTTGAGCAAGCGCTGCCTAAGAGTCCCCGTCCAGGACCACTCGCCGGGCCATTTTACGTATGGCGTCCTGGGCCGCACAAATCCCAAGCATAGAAAATGGCGCCGCTGTTGTTCAAGGGAAAGTTAGAGGAAAACCCACACCACCCATGTTTGGCCCATTGTCAACTCTTCGCTGATGGCAAAGCCTTTTCAGTTTTTAGTGATGAAGTCAGACTTCGTGCTGTGGGCCAAAAACGCATAACATGAACACGCCAATGAAGTGCAAAAACGCTTCATGCAGCCTCGGGCGCTTCTCGCTCTTTGGTGGTCATGACCTGTGCGTGGCATCGTGGCTTCTGGACAGTTGAAAGTTAAGAAACATCAACTGACACAAACAGTTGGGTGAAGGAAGCAACTTGGGGGTGTCTATGTTTT